TATGTACTTGGGTCTGTTTGTGGACTTTCTTTATATTTCATTGATGCGTGCATGCACCAGTGCCATGTGGTTTTAATTACAGAAACTTTTTTTGTGTTTTTATATCTGGTAGGGCTAGTATCCTTTTCCTTATTTTCTTAGCTATTCTTGCATGTTTATTTTTCAATATAAACTTTATATCATATTGTCTAGCTCCATAAAAAGGCTCATTGTTACTTTTATGGTGATCACATTAAATGTGAAAAACTGACAGCTTGATGGTGCTTAGACATCCTGACCAGAAACAAGGGACATTTTTCTATTTGTTAAAATTTCCTTGTATATCTTTTATATGGTTTTTTTTCATAGAGGATTTGAGCAGTTCTTATTATTTCTAAGTATTTTATTTTTTTGTTGCCATTATAAATGAGGGGTTTTTTTTATATGTATATTTATATTTCTTTTCATATACATATATATGTATATATATGTCTTACATTACATATATATGTGTAATATATATCTATTTTAAGTAATCTTTATGCCCAACATGGGGCTCGAACTCACGATCATGAGATCAAGAGTTGCATGTTGTGTACCAACTGAGACAGCCAGGTGCCCCTTTTCCATTGTATTTTTAACTGGTTATTATTTTGTGTATATAATTGCTATTGATTTTTTGCATGTTAATATTATATGCTGCTACCTTGCTGAATTTTTTTTAGTTTGAGTTAGTTTTATCATTGATTGTCTAGGCTTTTCCAGGTATACCAACATGTCATTTGCAAATAGAGATAATCCTGTTCTTTCTTTACCAATTCTTGTTACTGTAATTGATTTCTTTGGTTTAATTGCATTAGTTACTACCACCAGAACAATGTTAAATAGTGGTGGGCATTTCCTGATTTTAGTGCAAGTTCCTGTAATGTTTCTGAATTAATTAGGATGTTGGCTTTTGATATGCGGTATATGTTTTGTCATGTTAAAGAAGTATCCATACATTTCTAATTTCTGAAGAGTTTTTATTAGGAATGGTTGTTGAATTTTGCCAACAGCTTTTTCAGTATCTATGCCAGCAATTATTTGATTTTTCTTAAATGTATTAATATGAACTGTATTAATAGGGTTCCTGACATTACACCATCTTTGCATTCCAGCTATAAGTCCCGCTTTGTCACTGTGCATTAATTTGTTGATATTTTATTTACTATTTTTTTTTTTTAAAGATTTCTGGAGTTCCAGCTTTTTTTTTTTTTTTTTTTTAGATTTTATTTATTTATTTGAGAGAGAGAGAATGAGAGACAGAGAGCATGAGAGGAAGGAGGGCCAGAGGGAGAAGCAGACTCCCCGCCGAGCAGGGAGCCCGATGCCGGACTCGATCCCGGGACTCCAGGATCATGACCTGAGCTGAAGGCAGTCGCCCAACCAACTGAGCCACCCAGGCATCCCTTATTTACTATTTTTGCATTGCTGTTGATTTCCCTGTGAAAACATTTAGGCCTGGTACTTTTTTGTGTTTTCTTCTCTATGGAAATTGTATCAAAAAAATAGATTTTAAAAATTTTGTGTTTCAAGGGGCAAAATTAAGAAAATAAGATGACTGGGATAAATATTTACGGAAATTGGTCTGTTTAACCTTTCTATATGTACTGGGATCAATTTTAGTAAATTTTATTTTTCTCAAATTACTCATTTTGTCTAGATTGTCAGATTTATTTGCGTAGACTTGTATAAAAATCTCTTGATTTTTTAAGAGCTTTATTGAGATATAAGTTTAAAAAATTACCTATTCTAGGGTCGCCTGGGTGGCTCAGTTGGTTAAGCGACTGTCTTTGGCTCAGGTCATGATCCCGGAGTCCCGGATCGAGTCCCGCATCAGGCTCCCTGCTCAGCGAGGAGCCTGCTTCTCCCTCTGACCCTCCCCGCTCTCATGTACTCTCTCTCTCTCATTCTTGCTCTCTCAAATAAATAAATCTTTAAAAAAAAATCACCTATTCTAAATGTAAAATTCAGTGATTTTATTAAATTTATAGAGTTGTGCATCAATCACCACACTGAATATTAGAATATTTCCCCAAATTCTCTCATACTTGTTTACAATCCTCACTCTCAACTCTCAGGCCTAGGAGGTTATTAATCTGATTTCTGTCTCTATAAATTTCCCTTTTCTAGACTAAAATTGTACAAAAGGTAGTCTTGTGTTTGGCTTTAGATGTCTTCTGTTAAGCCTAAGGTTTTTCTAGATTCATCCATGTGTTGCATATAGCAGTAGTTCATTACTTTTTTTCCCTTAAATTTTTAATTGTAAAATACACATAAAATTTACCATCTTGTTTTAAGTGTACAATTCAGTGGTATTAAATGCATAATATTCAACCATCACCACCATGCAGCTCTGTAACTCTTTTCTTTATAAAACTGAAAGTCTGTATCCATTAAACAGTAATTCCCCATCACCCCATCTCTGCCCAGCCCCTGACACCCAACATTCTCCTTTCTGTCTCTGTGATTTTGACTATTCCAAGTACGTCATGTACATGGAATCATATAATATTTGTCTTTTTGTGACTGGCTTATTTCACTTAGCATAATGTCCTCAAGGTTCGTCCATATTGTGGCATGTTGCAGAATTTCCTTCCTTTACAAGGCTGAATAATATTCCATTATATGTATATGCTGCATTTTGCTAACTCTGATTCCTTACTTTTTATTCATGGTTGTATTATACCACATTATATTTATCCATTTACCAGTTGATGGGCATTTGGCTTATTTACGGTTTTTGGCTATTATACTGTTGCTTCTGTGAACACTCAAAGACTTATCCGAGTATGGACATAAGATTTCATTTTTCTTGGTTAGATTCCTAGGAGTGGAATTTTAGGTTATGTGGTAAATTTGAGTTTATCTTTTTAAGGAACTGCCAAATTGTTTTTTCAAAATGGCTCTACTACCATTTCATTCCCACTAGCAAAGAATGAGGTGTATAGTTTTTCCATGTCTTTGTCAACATTTGGTATTGTCTTTTTAACATGTACATTCTAGTGCTTTTAATTTGTGGCTTTAATTGCATTTCTCCAGTGATTTATGATGTTGAGTATCTTTTCCTGTGTCTATTGGCCATCCATATATCTTCTTTGTTGACAAATCTATGAAGACCTATTTGCCTATTTTTTTTTTCTTTTAAAGATTTGTTATTTATTTATTTGACAGAGACACAGTGAGAGAGGGAACACAGCAGGGGAGTGGGAGAGGGAGAAGCAGGCTTCCCTTGGAGCAGGGAGCCCGATGCGGGGCTTGATCCCAGGACCTTAGGACCATGACCCAAGCCGAAGGCAGATTTGGGTTATTTACCTTATTATTAAGTTGCAAGATTTCTTTATTCTTGGTGCAAGTTCTTTGTCAGATATATGACTCATAAATATTTATCCCAGTCATCTTATTTTCTTAATTTTGCCTCTTGAAACACAAAATTTTAAAAATTTTATGAAGTTCAACTTATTTTTTTTCTTGTATGTTCTTTTGGTATCATATCTAGAAACTCTCCCTACCCAAAGTCACGAAGATTTTCTCTTATGTATTCCTCTTGAAGTTTTATAATTTTAGTTCTTATATGTAGGACTGTGATCATTTTGAGTTAATTGGTGTTTATGGTGTGAGGTAGGTAAGTCTTTTAATTTTTTTTAAAGATTTTATTTATTTATTTGATAGACAGTGAGAGAGGGAACACAAGCAGGGGGACTGGGAGAGGGAGAAGTTCAGCAGGGAGCCCGACGCGGGGCTCGATCCCAGGACCCTGGGATCATGACCTGAGCCAAAGGCAGACGCTTAACGACTGAGCCACCCAGGCTCCCCTTAATTTTTGTTTATGTTTATTGCATATGCACATCCAGTTGGTGCAGCACCATTTATTGAAAGGACAGTCCTTTCTCCATTGAATTTTCTTGGCATTTTTGTTAAAATCCAGTGACCAAAAAAAAATGTAAGGTTGTGTTTCTGGATTCTCTTTTCTGTTCCACTGATCTGTATATCTGTCCTTGGCCAATACCATATTATCTTGATTATTATGGCTTTATAGGAAATTTTGAAATTAGGTGGCATAAGTCCCATAGCATTGTTCTTTTTTTTTTTTCCCAAATTGTTTTGGCTATTCTAACTCCTTTGCATTTCCATAAAAATTTTACAATCATCTTGTCAATTTCTATCCAAAAAAGCCTACTGGGATTTTGATAGGTATTATGTTGAATTCATACATCAATTTGGAGTTAATTGCCATCTGGACAATATTGATTCTTCCAATCTGTGAATGTGGGGATTTTCTCTTTGACTTTTAGTGGTTTGCCTATGATGTATCTAGATATGGATCTCTTTATATTGATTCTACTTGGGTTTTATTAAGCTTGTTGAATGAGTACACTGATGTTTTCAAGAAATTTGGGAAATATTATCCATTTTTTCTTCAAATTCTGCCCCTCTCCCCCATCTTTTTGAGACTCAAATCAGAATCTCCATCTTATGACTGTGGTCTTGTTATCTGGGTGGGAAATGGGAGCTTGCACCTCTTGACTGCACTGCCCAGACTTAGCCAACAAGTTACTCAGGACAGGATGGGAAATGCTGACATCCTGCCCCTCCTGGGAACACAACTGGGGGGAGAAGGGAGCCTTATGTTTTTGGCCGCACAGGTCTAGAGTTGAATTTCCATTGTGCTGAATTGCGAGGGTGGTAGGAAGGGAGTGATTCTTAGTTCAAATACCATAGTCTGAATTTTAATAGATTGTCTTGAGTAAATGTTTCCTCATGTGTGTCCTTGGAACAATTTCTAGAGACTAACCTACGCAATTAGAAATAATTTCTCATAAACTTCCAATCAGTTTAATTGTTCATTATAAATTGTTTTAAAAACTTTCAAAAATTACATTAATGTATGAGAACAATGAAACAAATTTGATTTGCCCCATGTCCTACTCTCATTTCCTCAAAAAGAAAAAAGCCATTCTCTTTTTATTTTCACTCAACAGTTGCAAAAGATTTACCTATAGATTCACTGGAAGATGATTTTGAGAAGGAATTCTCATTTCTCAACAACCTCCTAAGTCCTGGTTCTTCAGGTACTGGTGAATTTACCCAAGAATGCCAGACCGCCTTTGGGAGCCCTGGCGCCAGCTTCATGTTGCGGGAGCCTGCTGTGGGGTCTCAGCCTCTTGCTCATTCCTCACGATTCCTTCCTTCACAGCTCTTTGACCTTGGCCTTCATGCTGCCGGAGCTTTTAACAGTAAGTGCCTATGAAACATGTAGACACTCATGACTTACTTTATCTTTGTGAAGCAAAACTATGTATATGTGGATGCAAAAATCAACAAGGATATTGATTTAACAGTACTACTAGATGAAATCTGTGTCTCACCCATCAACTGAAAAAATAACAAATATTACCACTGGAGTATATCGACAGGCATGAAACAAGAGCTGCTGTCCTGCTCCCTCTGCCAAACCCCACACTTTGTACATTGACTTGCCCAGAAGTCTTCTCTACATAGAAAATCAGGGTCTTATTTTAAACTCTTGCCCTGCTAAGTTACCCCTGCATAGGGCAGGCAATACCGTTTCTTCCATCTAGCCAAGCTTGGTGTGTTCTCTTCCCATGGGTTCTGAGTAGACAAGGATAGTTCCACGGCAGCGTCCTGGGCAAGGCAGCAGGACTGGAGGATGGTGGTAGAAAGCTGGGCAGGGTGTTTTCCTAAGGGTCACCTGCTTTGTTTATATGTCAGGGACTCCCTCTACTGACCTACTGCCCCACCAGCCTGTGTCCAACCCAGCACCTTCAGAGTTCTTTTGTTCCCCACTTCCACACTGGTTGCTAAGTACTGTCAATTCTATTTCTAAAACATGTCTCCAGTTTCACATTCCTCCTTTCTACCTCTATTACCAGAGGCATTTAGAGACTTATTTGGTTTCCTGGGCTGCTGCAGGAGTCCTCCTACCAGGCCGCCCAAATCCCAGGTCACCTTCGTGCTTCCCCCAGAGTTCTTTCTCCAAGAGGCAGATTCTGATGTCAGCACTCTGCTTTCAGTGACAAATATGCTTCACAGTGCTTGTGCCCCAAGACATTTGCCCACATGACTTTTTATCCTCCTTTATTCAACTCTTTTTTTTTTTTTTTAAAGATTTTATTTATTGGGCGCCTGGGTGGCTCAGTTGGTTAAGCGACTGCCTTCGGCTCAGGTCATGATCCTGGAGTCCCGGGATCGAGTCCCGCATCGGGCTCCCTGCTCGGCAGGGAGTCTGCTTCTCCCTCTGACCCTCCTCCCTCTCATGCTCTCTGTCTCTCATTCTCTCTGTCTCAAATAAATAAATAAAATCTTTAAAAAAAAAAAAAAAGATTTTTATTTATTTGAGAGAGAGAGTGAGAGAGAGAAAGAGCACAAGAGGGGGGAGCGGGAGAGGGAGAAGCAGACTCCCTGCCGAGCAGGGAGCCTGATGCGGGACTCGATCCCGGGACTCCAGGATCATGACCTGAGCCGAAGGCAGTCGCTTAACCAACTGAGCCACCCAGGCGCCCCATATTCAACTCTTTATCTTTCCCTCATACTTCAGTTTCTGGCTCACTCATCATTTCCGGTTATATCTTTACAGTGTTTCATTTATTTGATAGCGACCTTATTTATGTCTATGCTCTTCCGTTAGGTTTTAAGAATCATGAAGGCAGAGAATGTCCTTTATTGCATGTCCTTATATCCCCTATGTGTAGCATAATATCTCACAGAATCATTGAGTTGCACAAAATGCATGATGCCCCTGAAGTTGTGCATTGTTGCAGGTGGAATTATTGACTTCACATGCAGAGGATTTAAAATAAATACTTTGGGAGGGGAAAAAAAAAAAAAAAGGACCATGGGCTCTAGGATAAAACTTGTGCCTGTATTTCCACTCTTATCTCTTAGCTTACTTCAAAATACTTTGCATTTTCTGTAACTATATTGACTATTTTTAGATCCCTCTGAGACATCATTGCTTGTGTTGCTGCTTTTACTTATGATGTTCAGTAATGGAGCGTGGACTTGAGCCTGTGTGTTAGATTCCCGGTCCAGTGTTTTCTCCATGGCGGCCAACACTTGACTATTTCTTCAGTACTGCCCATTGCGTGGTTTCTCCTGCCTCTGGCCTCCCATAGTGCTCTATCTGTTTTCATGGCTATAATCATAGTTCATCTTGCCTTCTGTCCCAGACAGGGGTCTTCCATCCCCTAGTAGATTTTATCCCTGAGAAAATGGCTCACAACACCTAACAGTATCTTAATGCATTGTACTTTGTATTAAAATACTTATGTTCATACTATATCTGCAAGACCATCATACTTTATCCAATCTGTAAGCACCTCAAGGGCACGATCTATGGGGTGATTTATCTTTGTTCTTTCTGTGACAGCAGCATAAACTTAGCTCAAAAAATAAAATAAATAGCAGTTCAATAAGCACTCAGTAAGAATTTGTTAAATAGCCTAGAAGTAAGAATATAGTATTATTTGATAAAGAGGCACTCTATCTAGGATAATTCAGATGTTTTACTATAAAATTTTAGAAGACAATTACTCTCATATGCATTATCACTGGCCTAATAGTTACACAGATTTACAAACAGATTCATTCTCCATGTGAAATCCTACTGCTCTTTCTCCTTAACGTGCCACATCTCTAGCAGCACTGGATTCTTTTCTTCTTTCCTGGCAGTACATTATCAACAGTATTTCTTCACCACTCAGAGCATCTGTTCTGGTCCCCGCCTGCAGGCTGACAGATGTTCCCAGGCAATGGCTGAGGCAGTTGATACTTGTTTAATGAGTGTCTTGCTTAAGATCACCAGGCAGTCAACAATTAAGAGGGAACCAAAATCTGGTCTTCTGCCTCCTACTACAGGACTCTTCCTCCTTCACTCACCTTCTTATTCCCCTGCAATGTAAACAGGAAAGTGAGCTGCCCTGAGTTAAAAGAGCTATGTTCTAGGAACCCTAAGTAAGAACTTGGGCTTCACATGATCTCTTCTGTACAAGGAAGGTGGAAGGCAGGACAATCTAAGTTCATTTCTAGTCCTGTATTTTAATTATAGCCTAAATAACTTCTCATGTTACGGGCAAACATTTCATGTCTTAGTGATAAGAGTATTACTAAGAGTATTCATAATGATACTTTTTAATGACCGCATAATATTTTGTCACGTTTATCTCCCATAATTCCTTCCTTACTGTTTCGAGTTTTTCATTTTATAGATAATGCTGCAATAAACATTATCATACATGTACTTTTTTTTCTTCACTTAAATTATTTCCTTAAGATAAATTTCTAGAAATAGGATTACTGAGTCCAGGGGTATAAACATACTTAAAGGTTTCAAGATTCTAATTGGCAGGTCTATTTCCTCTCTCCCAACTCCTTAGAAATTCTTTCTATACCTTATCTATTTGCAGTTGTTTGAAAAGAAAACTTATGTATTTATTTCAAAACCACTTTGAAAACTGTAAGGAAGTCTAATTCTAGCTGGAACTAAACTTAGATGATATGACTAAAATACATAATTGCAGATACATTTTAAGTGTCTTCTGTGTCTTACATTGTAGAATCTCACCCTGATAGAATTGAGGACTCATTAGTTATTTTTACCTTTTCTTATTTTTTCTGATGCTGCTTCCTACTTGACTAACAATGGATAATTCCTTCCCTCCCCCAGGCTGGGCCTTGCAAGGGGGATTAGAAGTTCCTCTTTCACACACTGATAACCAGCCAGTGCCTTCACAGAGTCCAAAGAAATTAACAAAGTGTAAGTTATTTATTTATATTCTTTGCCATTATATTAACAATCAGTTGAATGCAGATAAATTTAGAATAGGATCATTTTATAGTGTTTGCCTCATATTGTCCAGAAAAATATTTTGTTAATAATAAATTAAAATGAAAGTTATAGGGGCACCTGGGTGGCTCAGTTGGTTAAGCGTCCAACTCTTGATTTTGGCTCAGGTCGTGATCTCAGCGTTGTGAGATCAAGCCCTACATCAGGCTCTGCTCTCAGTGGGGAGTCTGCGGGAGATTCTCTTCTCTCCTTCTGCCCCTCCCCCCACTTGTGTGAGTGCGCGCTTGTGTGCTCTCTCTCTCTCAAATAAATATATAAGGATGCATGGGTGGCTCAGTCAGTTAAGCGTCTGCCTTCGGCTCAGGTCATGATCCCAGGGTCCTGGGGTCCAGTTCCGCATCAGGCTCCTTGCTCAGCAGGGAGTCTGCTTCTCCCTCTGCCTGCTCTGCCTGCCGCTCCCCTGCTTGTGCTCTCTCTCTGACAAATAAATAAATAAAATTAAAAAAAAAAATTTAAAAATAAATAAAGTCTTTAACTAAATAAATAAAATGTAAGTTATACCTGGCTATCTCTCATCATGGAAAAAATTAAATAGAACTTGTGAGCTTGTCATAGTCAACTAAATTGTGTACTTTAATTTTTTATATTTTCTGTTAAGGTTTGTTGGTAATGGATAATACCATTAGGGATAGAAGGTATTCTTTGATTACAGGATGCCTGTTGACAAACAGTGCATTCAGGCACTTAGCAAAGGGCCTGGCACGTAGTGACTGCTAACATTGATTGAGTACTCACCATATTGTTATCTGCAGAACTGGTTCATGTTGTAATGGTAATGCATAGAAAACAGACATTCTGTCAGGATTTTAGATACATAATAATCTTAGTCACTGATACTGATTTTTAAAAATTTTAATTGGAAAGAACTTCAAATGTACGGAAGTGTTGCATAAGTGAAAATAGCACAAAGAACACCTGTATACCCTTTATCCAGATTCATCTACGGTTAATATTTTGCTTTATGTAGATGTGTGTATGTGTGTAATGCGTGTGTTATTTTATTCCAAACCACTTACATACAACATGACCATTTACCCCAAAATACTTCAGTGTGTATTTCCTAAGAACTGGTATATTCTCTTGCATAACCACAGTATGGTTGTAAACTTCAGGAAACTTAATATTAACATAATACTTTTCCCATAATCTACCATGTATTTGTCTTCCAGTGTCGTGAGCTGACCCAGTCATATCCCTTATAGCACTTTCTCCCTCTGGACAGCGAGTCTAGGGTCTTGTATTCAGTTGTCATGTCTCTTTAGCCTCTTTTAATCTGAAACATTTCCACAGTTTTTCTTTGATTTTTTGAACATGGGCATTTTAATAGAATATAGTCCCTCTGCTCCATTTTTCTTTGTTTTTAATGGAATATTCCTTATTTTAGTTTTATCTGAATTTTATTGTGATTAAATTCAGGTTCTTCATTCTTGCCTGGAGTACTGCACCAGCGACACTCCTCTCTCAGGGTTTCACATCTGAAAGTTGATGCTGGCCATTTCTCCCTCATTGATGATGTTAATTCTGACCACCCATCCAAAGCATTGTCCAATTTTTCTCCTAAATAATTACTAGTTTATGTTATTTTATCCTCTTGCAATTACTAAGCAGTCCGTGAGGAGACACTTTGTGCACAAGTCCAGCTCGTCATCAGAATTTCTACTTACATTTAGCATCCAGCGTTGCTTTTGGCCTGATTCAGTCTTTACTATGATGGGTGGTAAAAAAAATGATGATTTTCTAACCACAGCACTCCCTCCGCATTTTTATTATAGTAGGAAACACGTAACGAAATTTACCACCTTAACCATTTTTAAGTGAACAGTTCAATAATGTTATGTATATGCATAGTGTTGTGAAACAGATTTCCAGAGCTTTTTCATTTTGCAAATCTGCAACTTTATTAAACATTAAACAACAAATCCTCTTTCCCCTTCCTCTGCTAACCACCGTTATAGTTTCTGTTTCTATGAATTTGACTACTCTAGGTACCTCATACAGTATTTATCTTTTCATGACTGGCTTATTTCATTTAGTCTAATGTCCTCACGGTTCATCCATGTTGTAGCATGTGACAGGAAATTAATATCATCATAGTGCTATTATCTAATTTATAGACCTTATTCAGATTTGCCAGTTGCACCACTAATTTTTTTTTTAAAGATTTTATTCATTTATTTGTGAGAGAGCATGAGCCAGGTGAGGGGCAGAGGGAGAAGCAGACTTCCCGCTGAGCAGGGAGCCCGACCTGGGGCTCGATCCTGGGGACTCCAGGATCATGACCTGAGCCTGGGCCGAAGGCAGGTGCTTAACCAATTGAGCAACCCAGGCACCCCGGTGTTTTTTATAACAAAAGAGAACTTTTTTCTTCCTTTCCTAATGCAGGATCCAATCCAGATTCCCACATTGCATTTAGTATCATGTCTCTTCAATTGCTTTTAATCTGGAAGAGTTCCTAAATCTTTGTCTTTCATCATCTTGACTTCTCTATAGCATAGAGGCCATTAATTTTGTAGAATATTCCTCGAGTTGGGTTTATCTGATGTTTTTTCATAATTAGATTCAGGTTAGGGATTTTGGCAGGAATAGCATAACAGAAGTGATGTTGTGCCTTCTTAATATCAGGAGGCACATGATGTCTGAATGTCTCATTGCTTGTGATGTTAACTTTGGATCCGTTGGTTAAGATGGTGTCTCCCGGGTGACTGCACTGTAAAATTATATTTTTCCCTTTGTAAGATCTTGTGGGAAAATATTTTGAAACTGTGTAAATGGCTTGTTTCTGCCAAAGTTTCACCCACTAATTTAGCATTCATTGATAATTCTTTGCATGAAATACATTCTAACTGTATGGAACAGCTTTCTCTTGTCCCTCATTTTTTTATTTATTTGTTGCTATGTATCATTGTAGACTCTTAGAATTCTATTCTTTCTGGTACTTTGGGATAAATCAATTGGAAAATCCATCAACTCCAAGCAAATGACAGATTCACACTAGCCAATTCAGAATACAGCCGTCCCTTTGGGATTCAGCCTATTTATAATTTTCTTTTCTAAAACCCACTAAAACTAAAGTTGTGTTTAATCAGTTAAAAAAGAGACTATAAAATAAATTTCATAAGTGAACATTGGGAAAGAAGTGTGGGGAAATAGAAGTATTGGGAAAGCTGCTATTTGCCTATGATGGTTGAGGCTTCAGTGTAATAAAAATTGAAATTCGTAACAGCTTTAAAATTCATTACCCCCCAAATTCATTACGCCACTTCATTAATCATTAAGGAAATGCAATTTAAAGCCAATATGCAGGGGGCGCCTGGGTGACTCAGTCGTTAAGCGTCTGCCTTCAGCTCAGGTCATGATCCCAGGGTCCTGGGATCGAGCCCTGCATCGGGCTTCCTGCTCAGCGGATGTATTTGCATCCATTTGTTGACCAAAACATATACACAAGAATGTTGTCACCACACTGTTGCTAATAGCCTGAGATGGGATTTATCTCTGTGTTGGCTGGCGGCGGGGGGAACAGTGGCTGGAAGGGTCTCACAAGGATAGCTTCTAAGGAGTAGTCTTTTCTGTTTCTTGAACTGATACTGTTTACAGTTGCTTGTACTTTATGAAAACTATTAATAGTTAACTTAGGCTCTTTTTTCTATACATTTATTACATTTCAGTATAATTCATTTGCTGTTTGTTTCATAAGAGTTTCTGGAGGCAAGAAAAATATACACAAGGAGAGCCCCATGAAAATAATGTAACTAAGACCTGCATTTTCCACTGTGACAGATGAATATAAAACCATCCCACATTTGTAAAATGCTGTAGAATTTTCATATACTCATCAGAACCTCTCCACATCTGCACCAAGAAGGTCAGGTATTACTGGAATGACCACAGGAATGACATATCCTCGTTGACATCTATTCTTCCAGTATAATTATTATTTTTTCAGTTACTTTTTAAAAAAAATTCTAGTATAGTCAACATCCAGTGTTACTAGTTTCAGGTGTACAATATAGTGGCTCAGCACTTCCATACAACATTCAGTGCTCATCATGATAAGTGTGCTCTTAATCCCCTTCACCTATTTCACCCATCCCCCCTACATGCTCCCTCTGGTAACCACCAGTTCTCTATATTTAAGAGTCTGTTATTTTCTCTTTCCCTTTTTTCCTTTGCTCGTTTGTTTTATTTCTTAAATTCCACAGTGAGTAAAATTATATGGTATTTACCTTTCTCTGACTGACTTTACTTCACTTAGAATTATGCCCTCTATATCCATCAATGTTGTTGCAAATAGCAAGATTTCATTCTTTTTTTGTTTGTTTTAAAGATTTTATTTATTTGAGATAGAGCGAGAGAGCATGAGCGGGAGGAGGGGCAGAGGGAGAAGCAGACACCCCGCGCAGCAGGGAGCCCGATGCGGG